AGGAAGGAAAGCAGGAAGGAAGGCAGGCAGGCAGGTGTCAACAGCTGTTTTGTTCCTCACAGGTCCCAGGGAAACAGCCATCAACTTCAAGAGTTGCCAGAACTTAACTAACACACAGCATCCCATTGTGATGTAAGAGGAGTTGACTTTATTTTGAATCAACTTAGTCCCCCTGCCCGGGTTAATGTAGAATTTTGGGTTTGTTCATTCCTTCAACCAAGGTTATTCAGTGACTATTGCCAGTCAAGGCAGTGAGCTAGGATCTGGAGGAACATACAGTGGGGCTCAACCTTAGCACATGAGAGTTGCTAGTCAGCGGCAAGGGAGAGACCTGAATGCAAGGAGCAAATGGACAAGTGGGCACCAGACATGTCAGAGGGTGAGAAGTTTATTAGAGGAAAGGAGCAGCAAAGAGAATAAATTGGGGGCTGCAATACAGCTCAGTAGCAGAACATCTGTCTACCATGCTCTTCTGTTCACAACAGTGAAAAGAGGTGGGGGAGGGGTGATAAACATCATAGACTGAATATAGCCTGATAAGAAGCATCTCAAGAGGTGGTGTTTGGGAAGACAACAAAAGAGAGCAAGGGAACCCAGCAACTGGCTTTCTAGGTAGGGAGAGCCGTGCATGCAAAATCCCAGAAGGTCATTTGTGAGCAACAGGTGTGGATGACATCAAGACAGTGGGAACAGATGAAGGAAGAAGAGCTCGGAAGGAATGTAAGAGAAGATACAAGCCAGGAAGGTAACCTCACCGGGCTTCAGCTGAGCTCATCCAAGCAGCCCAGAGCCTCGGAAGGGGCAGGATCTGGGTCTGGAGGCATTCATTTCCATTTAGGTCACTCTGGCTTCCGTGCTGAGAACAGACACAACTAGGGGAGAAGTAGGGATGAATAGGCTGGCTGGCTGTAAGACTACACTGATGGAGGCGAGAAAGGCAGCCACAACGGGGGAAGCCATGAGCTGGTGGACGACGGTTAGATGCAGGATCTGTTTTGAAAGTTGAGCTACCAGAAGTTTTTCAACACGAAAGGCTCAGGGTGATACTGGGATCCCTGGCCTGAGAGGATGTGCTGCCATTTGGCCAGAGTAAGATGACTGTGAAGAGGGGAGGGATGAGAGCCCTGGAGGAGGCAGCTGGCATTCCCAGACATCACACATCCCGGCATACACAAAGGAGGCCAGGAGAGGGGCACCCCTGGGCATGTGGTTGTTTTAACGCCTGCAGGGGACTGTCTCCAAAGCTCCACACTATTACTAGATAGTGAGAGCCCTCAGTGAGAAGGCTCTTCTGTAGCTGAGTGCACCTCCAGCACCTGTTTTAACCTCTCAACTACACATGGATTCCTTAGAAACCTCACCTGCCAAGGGCCACCTCTGTTCCACTGTTACTTCTCCTGCCGCTATACTACAAGAAAGACAAGCTCAAGCACTGGGCCGAGCTCTGGGAGTCATGCTGAAGAGAAGGAGGAGAAATCACATGACCAAGGGGGATGGGGTGGGTCAAGCTCATAACAGGGAAACCCACAGAGACAGGTGACCCAGGTCGTGGGAGATCACGGTCTCTAGACTGACAGCTAGGGAGCCTGGATGGGACTGACCTAAACCCTCTGTATGTGGGTGATAGTTGTTTAGCTTGGTTTGTTTGTGGCCCCTAGTAGTGGGACCAAGATCTGTCCCTGGAGCATGAGCCGGCTTTTTGGAACCTATTCTGTATGAAGGGATGCCTTGTTCAGCCTTGATGCCTGGGGGAGGAGCTTGGTCCTGCCTCAACTTCATGTGCCATGCTTTGTTGACTCCCATGGGAGGCCTTACCCCTTCTGAGGAGTGGATGGGAGGTGGGGGTAAAAAGGAGGTTGGGGGAAGGAATTGGATGAGATGAAGGAAGGGAAACTGTGGTTGGTATATAAAATAAATTAAAAAAATTTTTTTTTAAAAAAAGGAAAGACAGGCTTCCCTCAACTTACCCAATTCCTACTTTTATTCAACTGACTCAAGAACCATGCATGGGGCCAACCCACAGCACTGGTGCATGTTAATTATCAGTAGAATACAACATTATTCTTGGCAAATAACCTGGCAAGTTCAAGGAACTAAGAAACATGGCTGCACAAAGACTGATCATTTCCAACTCTGCAGGCCCCTTCATCTGTAATAAGGGAGTGCTAGAACCAACGGCCGCAACTTCATTGGTCACCCATTTCTAGAAATAAAAGAAATTGGTCACCTGTGGATGTATAAGTCAATTTAAAACCAAGTGTCATGTTTGACAAACAAGAATTTCCAATCTGAACTTTGTAATCCATCTCACTCTGGTGAATTATATACCAATAGTAGCATCCTTAAATCAATTCAGAAGAATTTTTTTAATGTATTATGGCCTACAGGAATGATGCTACATAAATATTTACATGTGAGAGAAATCCAAGTAGAGTACTTAATGAAGGAGTTTCAAATATAAAATGGTGCAATAGGACAAAATTCTAATTAAAAAGAAGCACTAGAAATGCAAGTGTACAAACAGGCATGGTGATGCTTGCCTGCATTCCCAGGGCCTGAGATGGTAAGGCAGGAGGACTGGGAGTTCAAAGCCAGCCTGAACCACATAGCAAGGCCAGGTCTTAAAAAGAAAGAAAAGAGAAAAAACAAAGTGAAAAGAAAGAAGCTAAAAGAGAAGGAGGAAGATAGGAAAAGAAAGAGGGGGAAGAGAAGCAAGAAATGAAGATATAAAGAGGAAAGGAGACCGTGTAAAATATACGAGAGACGGGGAGCTGTGTTTATAAGAATTACATGTGCACAGAATCACAGTGGCATGAAGATTCCACCTAAAATAGAGGCCGACACTCTTAAACTCGGATTCCAATATTTACACTTTGATGGAACTTAAATTTTACAGTTAAATAATTTAGATTAGAAATATGCATGTCAAATTAAAAATTCAAGCATAAAATACAAGTTGAATATCCTTTATCTAAAATGCTAGCACCGAGGTGTTTGGGGGCTCGGGAGATTGGGGATTTTGGAGCAGTTTGCATAGATTTTGCTAGATGAGCATACTCAATCTGAAAATCCCAAAGCTTCAGAATCTGAAACATCCTGAGTGTCACTTTGGCAATCAAAATGTTTTGTGCTTCAGAGTATTTTCTGACTGTGGACTTCCAAATCACTGTATTCGATTCTCTATATCCTTTCAAGACCGTCTTGGGACTCTAGAGCATGGAGTGTGAAAACCCCGGCTAAGGATCACTCAGCCTTCTTCAAACACGCAGCTCTGGAGAATTCAGACAATGGGAGAGGTGCTTATGAGCTAGGGAGCAGCTATAACACAGGCCATCAGTCTGTAGGCGTGGCCCTACATCTGATTATCTCTGGCATGGATGTTTTGGAATGCCCTAGAATCATTCAGCAGTAGAATACAAGCAAGCACAGAGTCCTGCTGTTGCCAGTCTTACATCCTTGGTCCCATCCCATCAGACAGGACAATCTGCATGCAGTCCTCCAGCACTCTCAGTTGGCTGGAGGGTGGGGGTGGGGTCAAGCACCAGCCTCAACTCTCTTCAGAACTTCTTTCCATGCAATCTGAGCACATGTACATGGGGCAGGAACAGGCAGGCCCATGGCAAGGGCTGCCTCTGCCTGAACTTACCATTTGCAGCCAAATGTTGGTGGTTAAAACTTGGTTCTTCTCATCCTTAAAAAGTAAAAAGAAAAGAGTGACATAAATATGGCTTATGTGCTTCACAAAAGGAGCCATGAACAATGATTCATGTACAAATCTGACATTGGGGATCAGTGCTGTGTGTGGAAATTAGAATGCACCAGGCACTTCCAAATCTATGCCAGCAGCATTTCCCCAGAGTCAAGCTTTTCTATTTATTCTGAAGTAATACACATTTATTACAGAGCACTTACAAAGGACAGCAAAATATAAAGAAGAAAATTAAAATCAGGCCATCCCACCATCAGAAATGATGCCAGCTAAGTCCTTGGCAATTTATCTTTTTACACTCCCCCAGGAAGAGTCATGATCGCAGGGAGCCCCCGCCTAATATGAAGGATCTGAATGGGCCATCAGTCTGCTTTATCTCTTCATGGCTCTGGGCTTTCCTCTTTGTCTATCCAGCAGGCAACATGTTAGACTCTTGAAGCCTCTAATGTAAATATAAGCAAGGTGAGTAAATAAAGGACCAGGAAGGTAGGGCAACCTTATAAGTAGGCTCAACACACTTCTATCTTTCTGATTTCAAAGTCCATTTCTCCATTTCCAAAACAGAATCCAGATGAGAATCAAGTCCACGTACCCACCCCGACCCCAGGTATTTGGGAGAGTACAACTATCATGGTTTGGTTCAGACACTGAGCACCTCTTAGATTTGGGTCTTGGGTCTTAAGTCTCCCCTGAAATGCTAAAGGCACCATCTCCATCTTGGCATTACTGGGAAATGGTAGAGCCTTTAGAAGAGGGGTCAAAAGGGAGGTTCTCAGGTGAAGGGGAACATGCACTTTCCAGATGCACTAAGATGCCAGTCCTTCTTCCTCTTCCCTTTGCCTTCCTGGCCATGAGTGAGCAGTTTTCCTCTACCACAGGCTTCCACCATGACGTGCTGCCTCACTACAAGCCAAAAGCAATGGGACCAACTTCTTACCGACTGGGACCTCAAAAACTGGGAGCCAACCCTTTTTCTTTTTGTAAGTTCACTATTTCAGGTGTTTATTCTGGTGCCAGAAAGCTGACTAGCGCATCATCTAAAGGAGTCTCATAGAATCCTTCCAACTGACCAGTCCTTTTTCATAGCTGGCCACACCCAGCTGTGTCAGCAAAATACTAGTGCAAGAGGGAACTGGAAAGATGATCACTCAGTGGTTAAGAGCACTGGCAGCTCTTCCAAAGGACTCTGGTTTCATTCCCAGCAGCTGCAAGGCAACTTACAACTGTAACTCCTGCTCCATGAGAGCCAATGCCCTCTTCTTCCCTCCCTGGCCACCTGGCACACAAGTGATGCATATACATACATGCAAACAAGCATGTTAAGCATCCTTAACATAAGGGAGGGGGAAATCCCATTAAAATGTGCAAGGACACAAGTTATACTGAGAATGCTGTCAGTCAGTTTGAAATTCTCAATTATAACCTAAAGGACTTGGAAAGTTAACAACCAATACCCTCCAGGGAAAGTATTCATGAAGACCTGCCAAGAAGTGGACCCTTTAACTCTTGTATCAGTAGCTGCCTGGCTTGGTTCACTGACAAAGACTCACCAAGAACTGACCCCTGGCAAAAAGCACAGGCCACATCCCAGGGTGCAGTCAGCGGCCAGGAATGCACATGAGAACTGAACGCTGCCACTAGTGGAAATGTAGCCCACATATAAAGAATTAGCAAGACTTCTGATTCATAGATGTTCCTGTGCTTAGATGTTCATCCACTGGGCACCTATGAAGATGTGATGAGCAACTATGAGAGAGAAGACTGGGTTGTCTGTGGAAGGGCATGGGATGAAGCACCAGAGGATCCCAAGCCAGGATGAGTCCAAAAGAAATGCAGTTTGATCAAAGCAAGAAATACATCTACTTTTCTAAACTAAAATGTGCTGCAATGTTTGGTGGTAAACATTTGCAGGTTAACATGTCCCATGTTCTATGCTGAGCAAATGTTTCCCCGGCAGAGTTACATACACTTTAATTGTGGTAGTACTCCCATTCCTGATCAATCCCAACATTACCGGGAAGCACTGCTAAGTTCTTCAGGATGTGTATCTGTTGCCTCAAGTTATTAGGCAGCTGTTGTTACTAATGGACTTAGAGTTAGCAAGAGTTCCATTCAGGTCCCTTTTCTTCCTTTAATTGCGTTTGTGCCTGCCTCTCCTGAGAGAGGCTTCTGTGGTTTGGGAGCTCAATTACTACCAATCTAATTAAAAGCCTTTCTTCTTTCCAAAGTCTGGACAGAAACCTCATTAGAATGACACTGGATTTCCTTGCCGCGTAGCAGCATGGGACCAAAGCACAGCGCTTCAAACTGTAATCAACAAGCAGCAGCCAGCCACCACCTGGCAGCACAGCAATGCCAGGTCCACACCAGACTGCAAAGGAAGTCTGGGACCAGGCAGGCTGCTGCCACTCTCCATTTGGATCTCCTCTTCTCCTGTCACCTGTGGTCAGGTGAGAAGGTCTCCCTTTCCTTCCCAACACAGTATGCAGCTCCTTCCCATACAGGCACACAGGTGCACACCCACACATATATCACCTGTCAGTTTGCTTCCACCGGGGGAGGGGGGGCGCGGGGGGAGCAGGCGCGGGGGCTTCTGACTACAAAGATGTTCACCTCCCTCCTCAGAGGGTCAAAACACAAGTCCATAGTGCATCACTCAAGGCTTTTCTACAAGTTATGGTCCAGCCAAGTTCGTACTCTTTCAGCAAATATTGGTGGAGTACTTCCACTACAATCAGCACACTGGACTGAAGTGCACAGTGGTCAGTTATCATTGCTCCTGAGGTGGGAGTAGGGTCCCATGTGTAAGAATGGCACACCTGTGCAAATGGTTACGACTCATTGCCTCTGCTTTGACATGCTAGGATCTCTCAACAACACAGTATCTGGGTCCCCTCCTGTCTACCATGTAGACCCCAGCCATAACCTTTTGTTCTTTGAGCCCTGCTGACAGCCCTGCCTGCCAAGGTACCAGACAGACGATCCTGTGTCCACGCTTTCCTCACCTCATAGTACACGATGTACAACATCGGCAGACCTCAGACTCCTGGAAAGTAGGGTTCTGAGCTAACCTAACCCCAACCTCACAGAGGTCTTGTGGAAGATTCCATAAGTGAGCCTGTAGAACTCTGCAAGACCATGAGCTGCTTACAGGCAAACCCATCTCCTGTCCCTGAAAAGCTGCTCGGAAATTGGGCCCGAAGTAGTGTCTCCATCCCTCTGCCCAGGCCACTGTTCCCCAGTTCCACTCAAGGCTAGCCCTCCTACCCTGCTTCCTGACACAGCCTTGTGCACAGCGGGCCCCAGGTACACCACCAGTCCTGAATTTGCTTCCTGGCCTCATGGCTGCACATTTCCATGTTTGCCACAGGGAAGAGGAGACCAAGCTTCAGTGTTTTGAGACTCTGCATATGGCACTCCATGTCACTCTGGTCTCCAGCAGAAGGATGTTCAGGCAGGACAATGCCCACATGGATGCCATTCACATTGCCAAAACCTACATTGGGATGAGAGCCAGTTCTGCATGCCTTCTCTTCCACATAAGTATCCTCCAGAGACACCAACCCACCAGCTTACCATGCAGCATATGAACTCATTTAAACATCCATCATCAGTGGGTGCAGCAGCCAGTTTACTTCCCTCACAGCTTGGACACCACCTTGTCCACACACTGCGATTCTTTCAGGGGAGAAGAATGCTACTTCCCTGGTTAAGGGAGGGTGTAGAACTCTGAAAATAGCATGCCATGGATACCCCACAAGCAACACAGGCTCCGGGTCTAGGTCTGTTATAACAAACACTATACACCAGCTGGCTGTGGTAACACTTAATTGTAATCCCAGAACTTGGGATTACAATTGTGGAAGCAGATTTCAGGAGCTCAAGATGATATTCAGCTATGTAGCAAGTTCGAGGCCAGCCTGATTTACATAAGACTCTGCCTCAAAAATAAACAAAGCAAAACATAATATAAAACAAAATAAAAGTTCAGAAGCAACAACACTGCTGAACACCGAAATATGGGCTTTGAAAAAATCATAAGCCTAGTTGAGTACTTGGGAAGCAGAGGCAGGCAGATCTCTGTGAGTTCGAGGCCAGCCTGATCTACAAAAGTGTGTTCCAGGACGCCAGGACTGTTACACAAAGAAAGAAACCTTATCTCAAAAACAAAAACAAAGGAAGGAAGGAAGGAAGGAAGGAAGGAAGGAAGGAAGGAAGGAAGGAAGGAAGGAAGGAAGGAAGGAAGGAAAGAAAAGAAAACATAAGCCATGAAGCTGACAAACAATACAGCAAGTACTGTTTCTCAGTTTCCAGTTTGGATGTGTGAGGTCAATATACTGGAGTGGTGGATCTGGTGTAGCTGGTGAGGGCTTCAGATTCACGGATGGGTTTCTTCAAGCTGCCATCTGGCTCTTACTGCCATGAGAGGCTCAGCAACACAGAGGGGCACAGTCTATCTCAGCTCCCACCAGTAACAGTAACAGCGACCACAAAGGCCTCCTGAAGCTGGTGAGGAGCAGTGCCACCTAGCCTGAGAGACTGCAAAGCTGTCACCCGATTGAGCTCTCCTGGGAGATACGAGATGAAGGATCCCAGCCCAGCACGAGCTCCCCATTGTCAGCTGACTTGCCCCCCCATAATTCTATTTTAACCTGAGCACATCAGTGGAGAGCATCCTTTGATTTGTGTGACACATTTTTTAAAAATCAATCTTAAATTATGGTGCACCTGATGTAGATTGTAACTGTTCTGATGATGCCTACTGTGCAGTATCCCATTTCTTCAGCCATCACTCTTCTGGAAGTTAAGGGGAGATGATACTCAACAGTATTTTACAAAACTCGGAGAAAAGCCATATATCAACCCTGTCTAAATCCTTGTTTCAGAAAAGATATAAATTCACATTTGGTTAACACTCTTATCGTTTATAACAAACATGACTTATTTTAACTATTTTCAACCATGTTTTAGCTGTGACGATC